AAGACACTGGAACCGGTTGCCCAGGGAAGTGGTGGCTGCTCCAACCCTGGCAGTGTTCAAAGCCAGGCTGGATGAGGCCTTGAACAACCTGGTCCAGTGGGGGAAGTGTCCCTGCCCACAAAGGGGTGGTTGGGGCAAGATGATCTGTAAGGTTCATTCCAACCCCTATAATTCTATGATTCTATGACAGAGGAAAATGGCAACAAGTTCCTGCTCAGTGCAGCAGGTAGGTCTCCTCTGTGGTTACCCCAGTGTCCCAGGTGTCCTGGGATAACAGATGTGAGGCTCTACGAGTGGAACTGAACAATAGTAAGGACAATGCTTGGAGGTGTCACCAAGGCTAATTCAGACTATTCCCCACATCAAAACTGCTTCCTTAATTAAAAAGGATACATCATGGTCATAGAAGTCTCCCTTCAGAAGGGAACAGAAGACCCAGTATGCTAATTGGACTCACTTCTTAGAATTGTCTGCTGGCTCCCTGGGGCCCAGGTCAAAGATGGAAGAGAAAACTTTCTACCCCAATACAGCCCTTAGTTAATTAACCATTACTGATTTTTCAGGTAGGCAGTGACAAAGTCTCAACAAGAAGTCTAAGGGCAATTAAGAGACTTCAGGGCCTTGGGATGACTTGCTAAGGGATCAGGAGAAAAAGTAGTATTCTCCTTTGTCCCTCCAGTTGCAGCAAATGATGAGGGAAGACCCAGCAGATTAAGGCCAGGCTCTGTGCCTGGTGTCACTGTTTTTTTCATCATGAGTTGGTTTATACGGCATCAGGCCTGTTGGTGACAGACAGGGTACACCAGTTTCAATGGGGGGAAATTATCTTTGCACAGGAGTCAGCAGGGCTCATTGAGAGAGCTGTAAACTAGATTTGAAGGGGGAAAGAGAGAAAATCAGGAGGCAGCACGCCAATATTAAAGAATGGTGTGCTAGTGAGGTCCTTCAGTCTTCCATCTCACTGGAGGTAGAGGATTGAGATCCACATGACAGCAAAGATGCAAGGGTTATTGATGTTTTAGCAACGACAGAAGTGCCTGAGAATGATTGTATAGGAATCAGGACTTCTTCCCACAAAAAGGAGGCAGGATCAATAGCCCAGCTGAAGAGCATCTACACCAATGAACACAGCATGGGCAACAAAACAGGAGGAGCTGGAAATCACTGCACAGCAGGAAAACTATGATGCTTACCACCACGGAAACATGGTGGGATGACTCACACAACTAGAGTGCTGCAGTGGATGGCTGCAAATGCTTCGGAAGGAATAGATAATGAAGGGGAGACCGTGGGACAGCCCTGTATGTTAGGAGTGTTTTGACTGTCTAGAGTTTAGTGATGGTGAAGAAAGGGTTCAGTGTTTATGGGTAAAAATCAGAGAAAAGGCCAAAAAAAGGAGATGTCATGGTGGGAGTTTATTATAGACCACCCAAGCAGGACAAAGAAGCAGATAAAATTTTCTGTAAGTGGTTGGGAGAAGTCTCACAATCACTGGCCCTTGTTCTCCTGAGGGACTTCAAGTTACCAGATGTCTGCTGGAAATGCAACTCAGCAGAGAGGAAACAGCCTAGGAGGTTCCTGGAGTGTGTGGAAGATAGATTCCTGACACAGCTGGTGAGGGAGCCAGCTAGGGAAGGTGCCCTGTTGGACCTGGTTTTGTGAACAGAGAAGGACTTGTGGGTGATGTGATGGTTGGAGGCTGTCTTGAGCACAGGGATCGCAAAATGACAGTTTTCAATTCTTGGAGAAGTAAGATGGGGTGTCAGCAGAACAGCTACCTTAGACTTCCAGAGGGAGATTTTTGGCCTGCTTAGGAAGCTGGTTGACAGAGTCCCTTGGGATGCAGTCCTTAGGGGCAAAGGAGTCCAGGAAGGCTAGATATTCTTCAAGAAGGAAACTTAAAGGCACAGGAGCAGGTTTTAATCATGTGCCAAAAGAGAAGCTGATATGGAAGACAGTTAGGATGGATCAACAGAAAACTTTGCCTGAAACTTAGGAAAATGAAGCCTTTATGACTTTTGAAGAAGGTGCAGCCCAATCAGGAGAGCTACAAGGTTGTTGTGAGGTTATGCAGGGAGAAAATTAGAAGGGCCAAAGCTCAACTAGAACTGGCTACTGCTGTAAAAGACAATACAAATGTTTTTATAAACACATTAGCAACAAAAGTACAGCTAACAATAATTTCCATTCTTTATTGGATGCAGAGGGAAACAAAGTGCCAAAAGCTGAGGAAAAGGTTGAGGTACGTAATGCCTTATTTGCCTTAGTCTTTAATATACAGACTAGTTGTTCTCCAAGTAGGGATCTCAACAGGCTGGTGCCTTACTCAGTCTTTAATATACGGACTAGTTGCTCTCCAAGTAGGGATCTCAACAGGCTGGATCAATGGGCCAAGGCTAATTTTATAAGGTGCAATTAAGCCAAGTGCTGGGTTCTGCCCTTGGGCCAAAACAACCCCATGTAGTACTACAGCCTCAAAAAAGAGTAGCTGGAAAGCTGCCTGGTGGAAAGGACCTGGGGGGATTGGCAGTCTTTAATATACGGACTAGTTGCTCTCCAAGTAGGGATCTCAACAGGCTGGATCAATGGGCCAAGGCTAATTTTATAAGGTGCAATTAAGCCAAGTGCTGGGTTCTGCCCTTGGGCCAAAACAACCCCATGTAGTACTACAGCCTCAAAAAAGAGTAGCTGGAAAGCTGCCTGGTGGAAAGGACCTGGGGGGATTGGTCAACAGCAGGCTGGATATGAGCCAGCAGTGTGCCCAGGTGACTTATATCAGAAACAGTATGGTCAGCAGGACTATGGTAGTGATTGTCCCCCTGTACTCAGCACTGGTGAGGCTGTACCTCAAATACTGTTGTATACTAGTTCTGAGCCACTCACTTCAAAAAAGACATTGAAGTGCTGGAGCAAGTCCAGAGAATAGCAGTGAAGCTGGTGAAGGGTCTGTAGCAAAAGTCTGATGAGGAACAGCTAAGGAAACTGGGGTTGTTAGCCTGGAGAAAAGGAGGCTCAGGGGGGACCTTACTGCTCTCCACAACTATCTGAAAGGAGGTTGTAGCAAGGGGGGGGTTGTTCTCTTCTCCCAGGTAACAAGTGACAGGATGAGAGGAAATGGCCTCAAGTTGCACTAGGGGAGGTTTAGATTGGATATTAGAAAAAATATCTTCACTGAAAAGCTTATCAAGCATTGTAACAGACTATCCAGGGAAGAGGATGAGTCACCATTCCTGGAGGTATTTAAAATACATAAATGTGGCACTTAGGGACATGGTTTAGGAGTGCACTTGACAGTGTTAACGGTTGGACTTGATGATCTCAAAGGTCTTTTCGACTCAAGCGATTCTATGATTGTCTAAAGTTTTAAACTATGTTCAAGATCCAAGGGTCCAGAATGTAGTTATTAAGTCAAAGGTTTTCTCAATTTATTCTGAAAATCCCATTCCCCAGCAAACCACACAATCACACAAAGGCTACTGCAAAATTTGGGGATTAGGAGTGAAATCTGACCAAACCAGGTTTGATAAACTGGGTATAAATTAAGTATCATCCATAAAGCACTCTCAAGCTGAAAGAGCACTAAGTGCTAAGTATTGATTACCACTTGTCCTGTACTATATGTATCAAATGAACCAATCTGATGGAATCATCTGACGGGCTCATTATTTATTATGCACTTTTACACTAAAGTATAATAGCGTAGCTTAATGGCATAGCTTGAGACTACTTAGATCCAAACCCTGTGGCTCATATGTTAATGTACCCGTAAAGTTAACGCAAAGAAATGCAAAATTCCCACCAGGTTAAAAGTCTCCTTAAATGATGCTTTCATTTAATGGGAACTAAACAAGAAAATGGAGAGATTGTGGATGTCTGTGAATCTAGGGCTTGTCTGCTTCAATCACAGCACACTGCCTCGTCTACCAGCAGCAAGGGAGAAGCTGTACTCCAAGATACAGATGGTCTGCATTTTAGCAAAGACAACAAAATGTTCTTGGAATTCCCATCAAATATATGACATTTAATCATTCACAACTCAAAAATATTAAGATTAATAAAAAGGCAAAATCTGTGCTTTCGCTGAAAGGAGTAGCACCTTTTCAGGCTATAACAAGTGCAGAGAACATTCAAATAGGATGTGCACATACTATACTCCAGGAAAAGCCTACCTCTCCTATGACTTGCAAACCTCAGGCACCACATTTTTGTCTTGACTCCTAAAAACACAATACCAGGTATCCAGATACTAGCAAACAAAGATGAACATATATATCTCCTGGGTACAAAAAATACAATTGGTTTATGTATTTCACCATCTAGTCCAAACATGGAAGCCAGATTACATGTTCTCTGAAGTTCCCTTCCAACTCAAGCCATTTTGTGATATACCGTACCCACACAAGTACCAGTACAGCCATTTAACACCACATAACAAGACGTACTGTGAACCCAATACAGTACTAGCTACCTGTTTTAGACAGTTTGCCGGTACTTCTGTTACTTGATGAGCTATCTCCTCTTGTCAGGACTGTTATCCCACCAAAGCTGGCTGTCTTTGTTATGGCTGGCTTCAAATTTCGATTTGAGCTGTCTGAGTCCGTACTGCTCCATGGCCTCTGGTGGTCTGTCCACTTTAATTCATTCTCTGTACTGCTCTGTCGACTGCCAGATGTCTTCCCGATACTGTCTCTGTTAGCCCTACAGACATCAGAAACCAAAGATTTATATACAAATAAAACCATGTCAAGGAAGAATCTATCTTTGGGTACCCTGCAGCAACCCTAATAAAGAAAAAGGAAATACTCTGCATTTACAAAAGCATGTCTGAAACAGGGGATCTGACCCCCATACTCATCTGCCTTCAGCATGTAAACACTGCTATACCCTTTTTACATGCACAGCACTTACCACCACTCCTCTTTTGCATATATTCTAAGAGCACTTCACCAGATGGGGCTGACATAGCAGTATTATGCAGCATTGATGTAGCATTTCTGTTGCCTGTTGAGCATTTTCTTTCCTCAGCAAACTCCTCACTACTTCTCTCTTTGCTGTCCATTGCCTGTAATATTTTCCCAACAAACTTCACCTGCCCTCTACCTTCGTCTTCATATCCATCCTCCTTATTCCTATTGCACCTTGTTCCCAGTCATTATCAGCTCTGTGAAGCTTCCCAAATTCTCCCCTAAACATCTGTCCTCTCAGTGTGACCTCAAACTCTCCACTGCTAATGCCTCACTTAGAGACCCATGACTTGGTTTGTTTTGTTTTCCCTCCGCATACAGTAATCACAAGAATCTCTGAGCAGTCTCATAGGATCATCAAGGTTGGTGGAGTCCTCTAAGATCACCAAGTCCAACCAATAACCTGCCGCTCTGCTGTAACCCCTAAACTGTATCCTTCAGCACCAGATCCAGTGGGAATGGTGACTCCATCACCTCCCTGGGCAATCTATTTCAATGTCTGACCACCCTAACAATTAAAAAATTTTCCTAACATCTAACTGATGAGTAGAGGCTGTCTGTCCTTGAACAGGTGCAGAACACCTAGTGTACTGTAAGACACAGTAGACTTTGACCAGAATTTGGAGGAGCATTGGCTTATTTATGGTGAACTTCTTATTGCTAAAATGACAAAACTAGAATGCCTACCACAGCTTAGTGCACCATGACTGTTATCCCAAGTGATGCTCATAACACTGGCTTTGGAAGGCTTTCAGAAGACATTTTCCAACCCTCTGTCTTATTTTACAGTATAATATCTTGCAGGCTCAAAGTTCTTTCTACAAATCAAAAGGATAGGACTGTATCTAATATTTTTGGTCCCCTTTGTCCTTGTGAACATGGCTCCTGCTTTTTATTTGGAGAACCTGCCGAGCTGTGTCACTTGGGACATGGAGGAGCAGCGTGTCAAAGACGGGATCAGGCTGTTGCATTCCTCGCCTGTGAACAGAGCCTCTCACGGATGTGATCAGCAGTATTAACCTGTTGACCTTTGCTAGACCCAGACAGTGGGAAAGCATGAAGAGAAACAGCACAGAAGCAAACAACACACAAAAAAAATGAAAAAGATTTTAAAAAGAAATCATCCTTTAAGATTTAACCTGAAAGAAAAAAACCAAAGTATATTATTTACAGATTCTTTTGTACTCTTGTGCTTGGAAATTAACAATTCTCTTATATTCTAGTGAAAAAGAGGGAGAGAAATGGAATGCTTTTGCATCCCCATTATCTGTGCCTTTGGGTTATACAAAATTTCTTTTAGCTCCCCAAGCCCAACAGATATTAGTTATTAAGAGTGTGTGTGTGGAGATGCTTTCTTATTCCTGCATGCCCATCTGAGACTCTCAGATCATCAAGGCTAACCCAAAGCATGGACAAAAGGTTTTCTGCCTACTGCCTGTGGTCATGGGATGCAGAAGCAGATGCTCCAGCAGTGTTCCTTATCTGTTGGAGTCTCGCCATCTCCTATGTGGCTGCTGTGATGACATGCAAAGTCAGCAACCCCACATCAAATAATCCCACATCCTTTTGTCCTCAAAGTGAAAACTTATGTCATCTAGATGATTTAGGTTCGAAGTGACACAAACTACCCCTGCTACATATGCAGACCCCATTGCATACAGATATCTAGTGACCACCCTATTTCTGCCTAGCCATTCACATGCCTTGGTGGATGAAGGCCATGATTCTGAAAGCATCCATTCCTTCTGCCTGCTCTACTTAAGACTTGTGGCAGCTGACTGACTTTTAAAGCAGCTTGGCATGCTCAGCTATGGTTGATCAGAACTGAACGTGTGAGAGCTCCTGGTATGGGAAGACAACCTTGCTAAGATACTCAGAAAAACACTGTCACCACCGGGTTGGGTCTCCCACTGAGCCAGTGTCAACTGGTAAAAATGATCACTATGAAGATAGGAACTGATTCTTATTGATTTCCTGTGGCTTGGTATGTTATTTGGGATATGGGATACATCTGAATGTTCTCTTGGCAGAAGGAATTGGAGTTGGGAAAACAAAGTTCACAAAGTTTCAAAATACAGTTCCTTTAGATAAGGGAACTTCAATCAGTTTCACCTCAATGTACTTTTACTTCAGCGTTTAATAAACCAATAAAAGGAAAAAAGGTCAATCTGGGCACTAGTCTATGAAATGTGGCTGTCATATATGCTACAGAAAAAATGAGTTTCCACCAGTTACAATGACCCCCAAATTGTCTCATGAGTGAGGTAGAACTCTGTTCTCCATGCTCCTTTCCAACCAGAAAAATTACATACCCACACCTGTCAAGATCTCCCTCAGCAAGGACACAGATAGACTCACAAGTGAGAGTTACTTGGAAATGAATATTAAATAAAGTCATACAAACCTAAACAGCTGTCTTTTCTTATGGGTATCATTGCATACGCTATTGTCTTCCAGCAGCCTACTGAAAAATGAAAAGAAAGATTATGGTAACAGATGTAGTAATTCAAATTTATGTGATCTGTAAAGCTATATGTAATTTCTAGAAATATCTTCCAACTTGTGCTAGATTCAGTTTAGAAAAACAAGGCTAAAATTGTCATCCCCCCCATAACTGTGCAGGTAAGAAAGTCAGCCAGGGAGGCCATTTAGCATTTCCTGTTACTGAGCAAGGTAATTTACAGAAGCCAAGGAACCATACATCTACATTCAAAGGAAAATTCATAAAAATATCACCTAGTAAGAACATTAAAAATGCAAGCCAGCAAAATACTGCATATATAATTTTAAGTACTTGCTAAGTCGCTTGGAAGTCTCTGCAGCTCAGACAAATGCTCAGGTTCCCCAACAAGAAAGAAAGGCAAAGCACTTAAACACATACCTAACTTTCAACACAGCAAATCAACAGGATTGCTCACTAGTATGGAGCTAAGTACAGTTTAAGTGCTTCACCTGATCAAAGGCTGTAGGGCATGCAGCAAAAAAAAGCAGTATTCTAAGGAATGCAGCTGAAGTCTCTCTCAGGACAGCAGCATTGCAGGCAGTAACAGAAGCCCAATTTCCAACCTGGCCTTTTAGTGGTCTCCACTTGGATATGCATCCTCACACCAGGAAAGCTGGTCAGTCAGCTCACGGGTTTGAGCACAGCAAACCACATGCAAATACCAGAACCGGTCACATTCTCCTACCCACAGGTATGGGATTGAATGCATAAAGCAGTGGAGACCTGGCTATGGTGTTCATGGTTTATCCCAGAAAGGTACCCACCCTACCCTCAGCAGCACAGCCTCTGAGCACTTTCCATGCTGACTTGGAAATGTGAACAACTGTGTCACGTTTATAGTGACAACCTCTCCTGAGAGGGAAAAATAGGCTTATGGGAGCTCCTGCTTTTTTTGCTTTTTGGGTTCCTCTGCTGAAATTTTGATTTTTTTTTTTTTTTTTTGATAAAACACATCTCCATAGTCACGACACAGAAGAAGCAGCCGAGGAAATATCCTTGGCTCTCAGAATATGAGGTGGTTAGATGACAGTGGCCTGATCTCCTGAGGGCCTTCCCTCATTCCACTTACGGGACCATCCATCGGAAAAGCTGGTTTGTACCATTACTGTGGAGTCATTTTCTGTGGGAACAGCTTCACCCATAAATGCTTCTGACAGGTGTAAGGATGGACAGAGATAGAAATACTGTGAAGGATAGCCTCCCCTTCTTCAGAAGGGTGGTAAACAGTTTTGAAATGTGCACAGGGCAGACTTGGGCAAGCACTGCTCAAACACGCACCAGTGAAATTCCCAGTTTTGGTTAAAACCCTTATCTGCCATAAAGGTGCACAATTTCTAAGGTTTTTAATACAGTTAAACTAATTCATTGCTGTTATGGAGACAATGCTTCATATTTTGTAGATCTTAAACACATTTTCTTCTTACCTTTGCTTTAAGTGGATTTAATATAACAAAAATAACATTCACAAGAACTATCACACAGTAATGCAAAGTAACAGTGGGCTCAGATGTCACTATTTCATTACTACAATGCAGCAGTAAGGTAGGTCTGGGGAACTTGTGAGCCTTCACAAGCAACAAGTCAAATCAGTGCTGCTGCTCAGCCCCACAGGAGAGCAGGTTAAACAACAGAAACACAAGTATGGTGTTTCATAAATACTGTTATCCAGCTACTGCTAGAGTGCTTTTTAAAGATCAATAAGTTAAATTCTAAAGGCACTCCAGAGACAGAATGGTCATTTGAAATGAAAGCTTAGGTGGGCTCCCCCTCCCTCCCACAATCTGCTTTTTAAGCTGAAATGCAAAGCCTCAGGAAAGCAGCAGTAATACTTTATCTGCTCAGATACAATACTGCAAGGCAATCTATTTTACCCCCTCTGAAAGCACAAAACCACTGCAGATAATATGGATTACAAATTTGCTCAACAGTCTTTGCATTAGGATAAATGACTATAGAACTATAGTAGACAAAATAATAAGAGAAGCAGCTAAGTTTAACACACATAAAAAAAAAAAAAGCTATTTTTTTACCTGTTTTCCACAAAAAGGTTTTCCTGGGAGCAAACTGACTGAAAAATAAAAAAGGCATTGTATCAGACGTTCTAGATATGCTCTGCTGTTCCAGTTTCTTCCTTGATTTTAGAATTACCTCCCCAGTTCAGGCTTAAGGGGATTTCAATTCATGCATCATTTGCATTTGCAAAAGACAAAAGGGAAAAAAGGTCAAGAATAAGGTCAGGCCAGTAAAATAAACTCCATGCATTACAATGCAATGCCAATGAGGGGTCTCAGTTTGCAAACAAACCGAAACTTCTCAGTCCTGAGACCTGAAGAAGGCAGTATGTGCAAAATACTGGCAATTTGAAGGGGAAAAACATTTTTCCTGCATAATATAAGGTTCTTCTGGTCTGCCCTACCACCTCAAAATAAGACTGCAGGATAGCACAGAGCTGCAGGTAGGAAGGACAAACAGGAGGAAAGCATGCAGAATTGACAAAGTTCTTCAAAGGGAGAGAAGATACTGCAGTACTTAGAAACAGTGTGTGATTTCACATTTTACAGTTGGAGAGGGAACACTGAGATACAAAATGATAATAACCTTCTTAATAATAATATTAACAACAATCATAGTGTATTGCAAAAAGGTTCTCTGCTGGAGGACTTAGATCCCAAGAAAGGTGAAGGGCTTGGAAGAAATAAATATTATGGGCAAGTGCATAATTCTTTTGGCATTACTTAATTTTTTATGCAGAGAAATGAAGCTGTGCTCAATTTCCCATGAATAATTCTCCCTCTTTGATTTTTTCATTTCCCTCCTATTTCATGTTCACTACACAAAATGCCTCGTAGCTGTCACTGGATTATATCTCGATGAGGTACAGAAAAAAGAACAGTCAGTACTTGCACTGAATTTAAACAAAAGGCAGGCAAAGGGAGGAGGGCACCAGAGATCACCCTGTAACAATGGGACTCATCTCAAAGAATAATGAAATGCCATCATTAGGTGTGTCAAATTTTAGTGGTACAGGATATGCACAGATTTTGGATATTTCTGTTTTGAATAGGTTGAGCTAATGACCTACTCAAAAGAGTGCTGGCCAACATCAGAAGGAACACCCTGCTCATTTCAAGTTCTCCAGCCAATGCCTAGGCAAAGTTATCCCTTGGCACCACAGCCAGCGCCATCCCATCAATTTACAAAAGGAAGGAAATTATCCCTGAAGCGGCAATGCAGTTTCTCATTAAAGCTGTAATTCACCCACCCAGCATCCATATTAGGAAACATATGACAGCTCCATGAGCTTCCCAGGGAAGCTCTCATAAACTTCAAGGCTCTGGGCTTCATTGGTGGCAAGTACATCTCTCCTTAGCACAGAGCCTCAGTACATCAGGAGGAAGTTCTCCATTGCCAGGGACCAAATTCCCACAAGTTTCACCCCAGGCTGAGAGAAGACTCAAATTGCTCCACCTAAAAATCATCAGGATCCTTCATACAACTATGACACTGCCTCTTTTGTTTCATGTACCTTATTCACCAGGATCCATTAGCAAATGTGGCTGTGCAAACTTCAGCATAGCCTAACTACCCACAAAAGCAAAGTGAAATCACCCCACAGGCTTGTACACCCTCAACTGTGGGGCTGTATCTTCGTCTTGAGGTTCATGATGAGGATCTGCGCATTGACTTCACTGCAGACACAATCCAAAGCATCACAGCTACTCTCCAGAAAAACCTTAGCCTAGAGCAGAGTACTGGTCTGTGTACCCACAAAGTTATAAAGAAAAGGAGCATGTACCTGTTTAGATTTTATTTTTTTTTAAGAGACTGGGGCATAAAGCAGAATAAATAACTGGGATTTATATTTTATCAATCAAGGTCTACTTCATTTTCAGTGTCTTGATGGGAACCATTACCAACTGCATTATAGACTTAAAGACAGAGTCATAATAACTCCATTTGTCTTCCTGGCTGATGATGCAGGCACAGAGCCACACAATCCCTGGAAACTATATTTCAGTATAGGTGTGAGGCTAAGAGGGAGAGAAGACAGGCACTTTCTTTCTTATATTATTCTTACTGTTAAAAATCAAATGGCTAAGTAGCACTGGACAGTAATTTAGCTACTACAAGGTCAGGACTCACTTTCCTGATCTATAGAATCAATAATGCTCAATTTAAAGCACTAGGAAAACTTATACACACAGCACAGCTGTTGTCAAAATAATCCCTAAAACACTTGGCTCTTGTAGACCCATCAAACACACTGACAACAAACCTACCAAAGAAACCCCAAAGTTATGTAAAATTACCTACAAATTAGCCTCCTCAGAGACCTCTGCATGCAAGATTTCCATTAGGGTGCTCTGTATGACTAATTGTAATTCATATTTCACTTTTCCAATTTCCAAGAACCTTTCAAAACCTCAACTGGAAAATGTGCATCAGCTCTGCCAGTGCACTTGTTTTTAATTACATTAGCCAACATAGATAACTATTAACATGTAGCAATATCCTGCAGTGGATACCATCAGGTAATCATTTTCATGTCAGCTAACAAGATGTGATAGACCTCAGGCTTCCAACTAATGCTTATTACTTGATATGCATCCACAAACAGAGGCTCTGTACAGCAATACAGGAGTTTTAGCACCTACAGGTTTATGGTAGCCAACGTGAGGTGTGCCTTTGATTTGTTTTTATTAATTATAAGCCCTCTTCTTCCTAATCTTTTCACACTAGAAGGACAGGACAAGCTGAAGGCACCTTTTGAAATATTTCTTTTGTTTCTGTCTTTAATCAGTGTGATAAAGATCCTCAGAGTTTTCTTAAGTAGAGGAATCATGACTTATTTTATCTAAAGGATCTGGTCCTTCAAAATACACTCCTTAGTCAAAAATAGCCATTATAATTAACAACAGAAAAAGTTCCTGTGTACTATGGGCAATTATAGCATTTCTGTAAGTAAGAAAACATCTACCTCTACTTTCAGTGAATATGCAATGATTCCTAGAGAATGCATTTAAGAACACTGAATGGTCCTAGTGTGATTCTGGCTTGAGGTTATATACTATGTTAACCTTGAAGAATAAAATTTCCCCCATGTAATTTGATTGCAAGTCTTTAAAATCAATTTTCTGAATGCTTAAAAGCCAAACATCATGTATCATTTATGCATGCATTTGGGATTCTCAGTTAAATCTATACAAAAGGAAATAACAACATACACTTTTTTTTACTACTTTAGATTTTTCTTTGCCTTTCTTGTACAAGTACTTTTCAACTCCCTAAAAGCAACTAAAGCAGTTCAGACAAGAAACTTCTCTGCAAGACCCAGATACTCCAGGTCCTCTGCTCCAGTGCATCTGGCTGTAAAATTCCCAAATAGTTGTAAAACTAAGTTTCCAATAAAAACATGTTTTAAAAAGCAAGGTTGTAGGTTTTGTGATTAAAAAATAACCTTAAAATATCTTTGAACATAACAGAGCTCAGGCAGCATTGTTTTACTGTTAGCAGCCTAAAAACTGCATTTTGTACTTCTTCTCAGTGAGCTGGTAGGATCAGGTTTATTAACTATTTATTTCTTCACCAGTCCCTTTATTAAGATATCACATTAACATGGTTCTCAATCCCTGCCACTTGCTATGACTCTACACAACAGGAGCCATTAAAACCTCCAGCTCTCCTTGTCAAAATTTATGATAGCCAACACACCAGATGGAAAACTTGCCAGAAATTATAATTTAAACTGACTAAGATCAGACTAATCATCATAAGGACTATCATAATGATGGCATTACTCATAAACATATTTATTTTGTTAAAACATTCCACTTGGAAATGAAGAAATCTGGTGCACTAGAGTACTGCAAGATCAAAGGAAGGACAAGCAAGCTTTCTGTTGGGTGGTATGGGGGATCCATGTAAAGACATTTTTCACAGCATGTGAAACATGCATAGAATTTTTTGCTCCTGTAACCAGACTGCCTTAACCACCTAAATTTTGTTCAAAGTTCTGACTCTTGGGCTAATATGTTATCCAAAGTGGTTTGGGTACCTCAAACATGTTTAGAGAGGGGCTGCCAGATGCAACAAGTTAAAGCAGTACTCTTGGCCTTCATGGCTGTTCTTTAGAGACCTCTCATGCAAGTTCTCTTCATGCATACTATAATTAGAAGTGAAGTATCTATAATCCATTTGCTAAGTTTCATAAGCAAGGCACTGATAAAAGCTTGACTGCAGCAATGTAAACAGTATAGAGGTATTAAAAATGCTACATGATTAATCTTCCCTGAATCTCTTTCGACATCTATATTTTGCAGGCTGACAAGGCTTAGGTACATACCTCACAGAAACCTGGGGAGAACTGGATTAATTAACAGTTGCAGAGGTCTTTAAAACTCTAAGATCTTACATGCAGTAACTGACTATTTATAATAGGAAGCCATTTCTCTCTTTCCTAAAATTGAAAAGAAGTTACATTGTCCACCACCAAAAAGCCTGACATAATCCTAAAAACACCTTGTATCTGTAAGGAGTGCTCCACTCAAAAAAGCCCAGCTAAGACATATATTCCTGTTAACACTAGTAGTACAGCTTGCTGAAATTCGCTGCACTATGATGCTCACTAACACCTATAATAGCAGAGAGAGACAGCAAATGAGTGGATATGAGAGAGAGAGGGAGAGATATCTAACATTGCTGATCTTTAAAAACGCTCACTCCCAATCCATTTAAAATGCGTGCCACAAACCACACTGTTACTTAGGTCCTGCCACTCAAGATGCTAACCTAACGGATCACAACAACCTCCTGCTGTGTGCAATTAAAATGCTCACCGCCTGCCTGTCTTTAAAACTCGAGTATCTAAAGGTAACAGCAGCAATGCATTGCAGAGCCAGTTTCAGCACACTTTTCCAGCCACCTCTGTTTCCCAGCCCGGCATTTCTAGCTGCTGCTTGTGGTATAAATGGCACTATTTTGGCAACGACTTTCCATATGGTATTTTTTAACATTTTGCCTCCTCTGAATTCTGCTTCAAAACCCAGAGATGTTCTGGTTTTGTACATGGTCCTTTGTAATATGCCAGAAACAGCAACTTTCATATAGGACACTGATTGCAAAGAGGCTTTTGCAGCTCTTGGACAACTTGGTAATTCCACTGTGTATATACTGTGACAGTATTTACATAAGACCCACACGCTGAAAGCAAAACATGAACTGAAGGGTCTCTGCTTTTACTGGAATTGTCTCAGTCAAGAAAGAAGAAGTAAGGCTAAAACATTTAGATGTGGCAAGCTATTTACTAAAAAGTGAAATTGCTTATCACAAGTGAGACAACACACACCTTAAAACTATACAGTGTATTCTGCTAAACAAAAATAACCTGTACGTGTGCAACTCCAAAGCCAGATAATAATATAATTAGTCCTGCAATACACTAATAGTTTTAATTTAAAAGGGCACTGCCAAATATGAATTTCAAAACCAGTTTTAATTGGGTTTATGCCCATATTCCTCTAAGTGGAAAAGCTCCCACTGAGATGTGAGATAAAACAATGAAATGTTGACTTTTAACTTTTTTCCTTTTAGCACCCTGTCATTATAGTATTATAGCAAATGATGATTTTATGCTTTTTTTCAGGAACATTAGTTATTGCTCACAGATGTTTCATATTTAAATGCTTTCCTCTAGCAATATACCTTGTTGTGCAAGTTCTGACTTTTTGGTAAAGGCAAGAAATACAATGTCTCTCTCATTTTATTCCTTTCAGAATATAATCATCAACAGCGTGACCGACTCCTTCTGATGGCAGAAATACAGTTCTTTAATCAGTCATTTCAAAAAACCAGTGCAACTCCGTGTTTAACCTCTGCCTTCTCTTTGTTCTCGGTCTCTTAGTGAAACAGCACTGGTCCAAAGAGACAAAAACCATGAGGACACTCTGCAGAAGGACACTTACAAGACTTGATCCAGGTCTAAAGAAATATGAAGTAATACAGCTATTTGAAATTATTGAGAGTGTCCATTTGAATCACTGCTCTTTGGTTAGCAAAAGAGAAGGAAAAAGGAAGGAAACCTAGACCAGATGAACATGAACATTAAAAGAAACAGGGTAAGTACTCCCCAGACAACATGCTGGGCCTGATCTCTCCTCTACTCTTCTCCCTGCAACTCTCATCACCACCTTCTCCAGAAGCCAACTTCTAGGCCTCTTAAGCTGCTCTCAGACCCTCTGCACCAATCTGCTTTCACTGTCACCTCCAGCTCCACAGGGCAAGTCCAGCTGCGGTGTTGTTGTAGGAGGGGGGCAAGACTGTCTGACTACCGGCGAGGTATGGCACTAAAGAGGCAATTAAAACAACTACTCACATCTTGTGCAAATATTCTCTCCCTCACTCTCTGATACTCCTCTTCTCTCTCTTCAATTGATTTACTTCGTCTGTCATCTCTAAATGGAAGCATTCTGTTTTGCTGAGCAGAAAGAAAACCAGGAGGGTTATATAAGATGAGCTGTTAAAAACTGCCATTAAGTAACTGTCAGCTGAGAATAATAAAAGTTCACTTTAACAAATGAAGCACAAAAATGATAGCTGCCATTCCTGCATGAAGCACCCTACGAGACCGGGTGCCTGAGGATTTCCAGTTAGATACTGCACATAGGTTTGTAGAGCAGGTGGCCAAAACAAGGCTTTCTGCCCAGCTTTTGTGGACCCGCCATCCTAAAATTGGGTGTTCTCACCCCAAGTCTAAGTGCCATTGTTCTCGACTGCTAGCATTTCTTGACTCTCCTACCAGCTGCGAGGAGGAGGTGGGCAGGCAATGGTGTGCTACCTACAAAGTCAAGGAAGAAAAGAGGGAAACTAGGCTGCGAGAGCTAAACTTCAAACTCTAGAAGAAACCCACAAAGTCTATTTGTACAAGGAGGAGAAGTCCCAGATATTCAGCATAACATTTTTAACCATTTCCATAAAGTAAGGAATCCTCAACTTCAGTTTTGCTGGGAAAAGAAAGGTCATTTGTGACTCTTGGTAAACCACAGTGCAGGAAATGGCTGTGCCATAGGAGTAAGGAGAGATGAACCTCATCAAGAAATGCTTCACTGGCAACTGGGTTTCAAGTACTGCTCCTTCTCCCCCTGCACCTCAGCACCAGGTGAGATATGTCATGCCGCTATCCTTTGGCTGATCCCCACATTCACCACACCCTGCAATTGCTCAGGGTTTGTTTTCAAAGCCAACTCAGATCCAGCAAAACTGGCAAGGCTGCCATGTATAACTGAAAGTCAAGGAAAAAAAGGGGGGAAAAAAAGAAAAAAGGAAAGGAAAAAATCAGTTCTTTACTGAAAACATGAACGAGAATGGCAAGAAGAGATTCACTGGTAGGTCACTCCATAAATATAACCTAAGCAAAGAAAGCATAAGCTGTCTTCTTACCTGTGAGAATTTTCTCATAAAAGCAAATCATATCAGAACCCTTTCAGATTGATTTATTTTTTGTTAATATATTCCACGTACACAGTTTGCACTGGATTGAAACAGCACAACACCTGCTTTTAAAGGCAGCACAAACACACACATTTCCCTGGCGCTCCCCTACTCATCAGGCCCACCTAAGGCAAAGTAGTGTTATGGCACAGGCAACACAGAGGGGGAACGTCTGCCACAGTACATGCACAAGCAAGTAAGTTACACAGACAGTAAAAGGTGGCGAGGGCACAGGAGAAGGAAGGGACCTAAAAGATCCAACCGATTTATTTTTGGTCAAAACTTAATTTAGGATGGTTTAAATAAAAATAAAATCAACCTGGCCTCACCATCACATGTTTGTTTGGGGTTATTCATTTATTTATTTATTTCCTCTCTCTTTTTCAGGCTACATCACTTTACCATCAGTTCATACTGAAATCCAACTCTGAATGGGTACAACTAAAGGAGGAAGCTATAGGGAGTGGAACAACTTCCATAGTTAGGCAAGACATTGAGAGATGCGACTGACACAGCCTTCCACGCAGCCCAGAGCCACCGGCATTCCCCCTCCCGTGGGCATGCAGCAAGTCCTGCGCCAAGCAAACCACCCATGCAAACCCACACACTGCCACGGCTGAAGCAGCCACACTGGGGCTCGATGCCACCCACAGTGGTACGTATGCCAAAGGAGGTGGGGAGGGGGCAGGAGGGCAAGGGAGGAGGAGAGCAACAACAAAAGAACAACAATAACATCAGTCAGCCCACCTTCAAAAACAGAACAAATTTCAGCAACTCTCGAACCGAGAACCAACCTGATTGTCTTCTTTATCAATACTAGAGTTATCTCGCTTCAAGATAAATCGCTTCTGGGATTCTTCACCTTTTTCATCTTTTAAATGTTCAGAAAACCTTTGCTCTGGTCTGCCAGCAAAGTAAAACATAGCAATAAAAAAATCTTTCTTTTGGTTTTGCTTTGATCTTTATTTCTCAGTGCTCTTTGTTTTCACAGAGGCATTCAGTGCAAAAGCAGTTAACATTTGTGGTCATGGTGAGACACTGCCTATAGCTGTCTGAGGCTGCTGTATTGCTGCTAACTGTTATTGCTATAAATAGCTTTTGTTGTTGTTGTGTAGCAAGGAGCGGGAATCCAAAGTCTCAGTCACTGAAATATTTAGACTCTCCTCACTGTGACTAAAGGACAGGGAAAACAAATTAACATACTGTATGTTAATTTGCTTCCTTCAGTAGCTGGGTCCTCCAGCAACACTGACACTTAGTGTAGCCTATCCATCTTCAGGAGTAAAGAACAACTTATAGAAATCTTATGGGGAAAGAAAAGCAACCAAGAGTTTCCTCACTCCTAATAAACAAAATCGGTAAAGTTATGTCTATGAACCAAACTTTGATATCCTCCAACTGACTGAAGATGTTTTGCTTAAACAAAATTTTATCTCATCACCATTGACTGGGAAAAATACTCCAAAACAATCATAAAGTATCAATTAGTTCACTGATTTAAACTTATCCAGACATTTACTTTTTATAAGCCAAATTCCACCGGTCAAAAGCTCAACATTTTAAGTTTGTTAACTGGTAGGATGCTGTTTCATGTTCTCACCCTGAACAAAAAGCAGCAACTCATGTCACCACACCTTGTGCAAAAGAGAATTTTAAGAAGGTACTTTTGTGACTGAGTTGGTCACCACCAATGCCTTTTAGCTGTCAATAAGTAACATTCCAGCCTGCACCACTCCTAGGGCCAAACCTGGAATGTTTTAAGCCCAAACAGCATTGATAGGATGACCAATGGCCTCGAAAACTGAGCTGGGATTCATATGCTATCACCTGACTGAGGGGCTGCACAAACTGTGTTTTAAAGGCAGTAACAGGTTGTGAGGTTTCTATCAGGCAACACAAGCCTTATGCTCTGTGCTGAAAGAGCTGCTAACAGCAGTACTAGTTGGAGATGCTCATGTCTAGAGACCTACGCATACAAGACACAAAGATTCCACTGACATGAACAGAGCAATGGTGAAGAAATCAAAATGTAGAAGTCAATGACTTTTTGTAAATAAAAGTCCTCTATAAACTTTAAAAGAAAAACCTCAGCTTCATCTTATTTCACAATGGGAAATTAAACCAGATGTGTAAATCAGCCACCATTTTGCTGTTATATCATCCAGATTTGCATATAACTAATTAGTAATGGATTTCAAATCAAAATACAGCACATTTTCATGCTATAATTGCCATCCATAACAATTCATTGTCAGATGCACAGGAAATATTTGTAATAAACTGTAAGAAATTCAGTATTAAGAGACAACAGCTCTCCTGCCTCTCTATCTGTATGAATTTTGAGGGCTCCCATTTCTGCTCACAATTTGCATTTTTGTGACAAAGCAATAAAACATACCAGCCTGATTTCCACAGATGCTGACAAGTCAAGAAAACTTTGTCCACCATCTGTAGCTGCTGGTGCTAACAGATACAGGGCCCAACACATGAAAGTCAGCAGATTCTCTGCCCTACTAGCCTTCTTTTGGGAAAGCCCAGAGGACCATGGCTCTCTGCACAGTCTTCTAAGCTAACGGGTCATTCACTGTTTCCTCATAAACGGAAAGGCTACAAAGCCCCATTAATTGACTGTTACGTGGGTTGTTCTCCCTTTGCTTCCATTAGTGAGCACTACGCCTGCACAGCCAGAAATCATTCATTCTCTCAAATACTCTGCTTTGACAGGACTATCTGAGTATTGTTATTTTTTTCTGGGTTTACATCTTACAGCACAAACAAAATTTCAGCAATTATGCTATCAGTGTAAAATTTAGAACTGCAAACTCTCTGCTGAGCATCTAATAAACTATATACCAAACAGGATAAATAAATGAGACTTTAAAATGCAGCAGGGAAAAAAGTAGTCAAAAATTATTAAAAAAACTTGAAGAAACAATTTGGAAAAAAGTCTCCTCCAATTACTAACTTATTTAAACAGCAATGTGATTTTCATGCTTCATAGCATTATTTTAATTTTCAAATCCCATTTTCACTTTATTTACTATTTATAAAATATTTCCACTTCTCAGAAGAGAACAGGAGAAGAATGAGATCAAGCCGTGAGTCAAAACTAATGATCCAGTGTATGCCCGTTAATAATATTAATCTACAAGCCCAGTAGGTGATTAATCTCTAGTTGTGAAAAGAAGTTTACTTGGGCAGAGAGAGACTCTGTGAATATGCAGAGAACTACAGAGTGCCAGGGTGTTATCAGCACCACAAGAACCTCCTCCCCTCCCATCATCACTGCAGCTCTGGGTCACTGTTACCAGTGAGATTGAGAAGAACATGACCAGCTCAGTTAATAAGGATGCAAAGCCTGAGGGAAGACTGTCAAGTCAGAAACAGGATACCACAGCAAAAAATATCTTCAGGCACACAAACCTGCAGGCCTCCTTCAAACAATAAAGTCAGCAAAAGACATTTAGTTTAAAGAAATGTAGACTATTTTAAAGAAGGTATCAAGGTTCAGTGATATTTATGCATGTACTTGTGTTTTTCTCTTCAACACCATTTACTGCATTTTCTTTAACACCTATTGCAAAAATATGTTATTAGTAGGATACAGATAGCAAACAATGTTTAAAACCAGTAAGTGGAACCGCATGCTCTAATCACTTGGGTAGAGAAGAGGTTGGTACTGCAAAGGTTTGGGTCTCTTCCATTGATGAAAGTCAGTGCAAGCTCCACATTCCCAGCTTTAAAGTTTCCTGTAACCATATAATGCATCTGCTATAAGGAAGCAGAGACATTATGGTTATTTTGGGGAAATTTTGCATTAGTTTACAAATTTGCAGGTGAATTAACTGCTTGAAAATGAAGAAAACAATATGCAATTTTGAGTATGTTGTAGTGCCAATATACTAACACAGTATGTAATTGCAGTAATACAGCAGATACAGTTAATTCATCTGAGTCCTAAATTAATAACAATCACATTTACTCTTCTGAGCTTTTTAGCTGCTACTGCCAGCAGTAGTCAGCACAATATACCAAATTGTGTTCATGCATGTAAGGGAGTGAATTTATCAAGATTATTTTCAGTACTGGCATAAATTAAGGTCTTACTGAAGTCAAAGCATGGTTTACAATTATTATTATAAAGCCATGTAAATCAGAAAATTTTTCACTATTACCACACTGGTTACCTAAATTACATCTTCAAATCCTAACCAAACCTTAATTTAATTTTAAAAATGTGATTTGTACAGCCTTTTTGAAGAGACGCTGAGTAATTCTGAAGGCCTTATCACTAACTCAAGTACTCAACAATTTAGGGATCTTTGAAAATCCAAAACAATGAAAAAAACCCAAATACAAACAACCTACAATACCTATCCTATATTGGTGGGTCGACTCTGGCCACACAGTACACCCACCTACTTGGTAACAGCCGTGTCAAGGAAAAAGACATGCAAATATATGCCTATAAGGAGTGCTGCATACCAGTATGACAGTATTTGATTTAGCCCATTCAGTATTTCATTTATCCTCCATGTCATAGAATCATAGAATGTTAAGGGGTTGGAATGAACCTTCAAGATCAGCTACTCCCAAACCCCATTGCCATGGGCAGAGACACCTCCCACTAGATTAGGTTGCTCAAGGTTTTATCCAACCTGGCCTTGAACACTGCCAGGGTTGGGGTGTCCACAAAATGTCTGGAATCAGTACCTCACTTGATAATCTCAAATCCTACTACAGAACATAAAAAAAGATTAAGGAGGAAATACATTTTAAGTCAGTAGGATTTTTGCAACTTGGGGACCCTACTGAGAAAACTATAGAGAATGACCCAGCTATACCTTACAGGCTCAGAAACCAACACAAAGGGAGGGGGAATGCACACAGGCTAAAAAGATGTAAAGTCTGGAGTGTTTTCCTCTTTGTTTTGGTTTTATTTAATGTAAACTTTTGATCATCCGAATTTTCATTGCCTGACTGTATGGATGGACACAAAACATCTGTGCCCCGAAAATGCAACTTCACAAAACCACAATCACATGTGAACTCATTTCGTATTTCCTAAATGTCAGGTAGCTCAGTTAGTCACCCTTCTGGCAACATGATTCAGAGCAAAACACACAGCATATTTCCTTCTTCCCTCTAAAGCTTTTGATCAGGTGCTGCAAATGTTTAAGAGAAACTGGATCTGAGAGTAAGTTAGTGCTCTTCAGTGCGTATCCTTAGGCAGCTGCCTAGCCCCCTTCTGAACCCCAGATCTGTCAGAAAGCGAAGGCCTTTTCTGCAAGTCAAGCAGCCTCTCCTCTCCATCCTGTCTGGCAGGTAGCACCATGATATTCAGGGATAAGTCCAGGGAGCCAACTTCAGTGGGTGCCCTGCAGCATCCAAACATTCCACCACAAAAAGCTTCCCAAAAATCTCTGAGCATGTGCAAACTTCTGCAAAGTCTGCTTCTATCGCTAAAAATCTTTTGAAAATCTTTTCCTAATCTGTTTTATTCCGCAGTGAAGAGAGAACACTTTTTGGCGAGTGATCAGTTTACCCAATGGCCAGACACAATATATAACAAGGCATCATATTAACCCTCCTATACAGTGTTTTCCCTGGTTCAGGAGCACTTCTACATACTTTAGTGCAATATCAGGTCCAGACTTGAAGAGAGTACCCAGGTAAAATCTCAGGGCAGTATCTTTTTTCCACTTCTAGTGGCTGTGCTCCTTCTCAGGCAGCCAATGATCACTTCAACTCTTTCATTTTTGTGTTGGGAGATCATTATAATGGTAACATTGAGATATGGGTGAAGTATCTCATTTCTGTGTTTGGAATACTTTCACTGTGAGGGTGACCAGGCACAGGCACAGGTTGCCCAGAGAGATGGTGGAGTCTCCATCCTTGGGATG